CTTAGTTCTTAAAAAGAAAATTAATTCGTCATTACACTGTCCAAGAAAAAATTGAAAATACTCTTAAAAATGAATAATCTGATATTTTATCGGAATTTTCCCTACTGAAAAAAAAAGATTAATGTTAAGAGTCCATGCATAGAGTTCGAAGCAACTTTTCATAGTCTATTTGAATATCAATTCAAATCAGCAGAAATATATACTCAATTTTCCATAGCTTCTACTCGACTCTATCAAAGTGTAAATATAAAAAAGAGTCTTCAAGAAAAAAAAAACCCAAACATAGTTTTTCATCATCTAAAACATGAATTAATCATTTTGTTCAGACCAAATACAACGATAGAATAAAGAATTCTCGAGAAAATGAAATGGATGAATGCTCTCACTATCATATTAAGAAATTTAAAATATGAGTAGTACATAATGTATATGAACCATTTGAATTAGAGTATTATCTTTTGAGCATCTAATTAAATTATTCTCTAGTTAAGTATGCTAAACATTTCAGTAGGATAACTACTGACATGTTCCTATCGAATTTTCAGTATCTTCTCTAATATCAACTAAACATATTGATACTCGTACTTCTATCGAGATTGATAAAATACAAAACACAGTGTAGTACAACTGAAAGATTGTTTTTGAATTGATTTTCAACACTACAATATGAAATTTATTAAGCATTGAGAGAACATTAATTGTGCTGCTTCTAAAAGAAAACATTCAAAAAATTTCCGAATGATTTTTATTTAAAAACAACAATTGCAACAGTAACAATATGCCTATTGAAATAGATAAACGTCCAGAGCTATCTAAAGGTTGTTCAATAAATTCATTTAGTAAAAGTAAAGTCTTTTTAACTTTAACAAATTATTATTCATACTTTGTACTAAATAAATGCGAAGTTTACTATGCATGATAAACTGTAACAAACAATATCATGTGCTATCTTTATCAATCTTCCTATTCTTCTCATATAACAAATTTTTGAAATAAAAGAAAGAATCATATATCAACTTATCAATTTTCGCGTATTTGATTGACTTCGTACTCGATTAGTATTTTTCATCATGTATGTATGATATTTATTACTCATTGATATAAAGAAATACTAAATAATTATATCCATTTCCATTTTACTCTTGTTTTTTTAGTGGAATTTAATCATTATGAAACCTTATATTTCTTTCGTTGTCTTTTCTTCTATGATACTTCACAAGAGTTTCATATATCTGCTACCTATAAAAAAAGAAAAAAACACTCTTATGATGATTACCACTGTATGATCTCAAAAACTAATAACAAAAAAAAAAAAGGTTATAGACCTGAAACTCAACCATTTATTTAGTACTAATGATTTACAATAATCTGTCTAAGTTGCAAAGAATTCACTTTTGTTAAATATAAGAACACTAAATTTGAAAATTATTTCAGCATTTTTCGGATATCCTTTACAATAATGAAAAAATTCTTTCATCAAATTAAATGTCCTTGATCTTCATCGAAATCAATAGTACTTAAAAAAAAACAGTTATCACATATAGTTCGTAGATCTATTATTAAATAAAGATCTTAGTCATTCTAGAACAAATTGAAATATTACACGAAAAATGATCAAGCGTTGTATATGAGTACATAGATAACTTAGATAAGAATAAAAATATTTCAATTACTCTCATTCTTGCTTACATGAAGAACGTAAACAAAAAGTGTCATAACTCTTGTTAAAGTCCGTCAAGTCCAAAGTTTTCCACCTAGTTAAACTATACTTCCATAGTCTAAATGAAATTTTTCATTTAGAATTGAATGTATTGTCTTGAAGATACATTTTCTATATGCACATCTTACATATTTCTCACATGATTAGAACTTGTTAAGTGCAAAATTTTCACACACGATTGAATCATAATTTGATATTCTCTCTGAAATTGTCTAATTGAAATAAGATAATCACCCTGAAAATACACGATTTGTTTTTTTTTTGTATTCGATGATTATCATGACCTGGATATTTCTCAAGTAGTTAGAGCTAATTGTGTTGAAAACATGTTGAACTCGATCGTCTTTAATTTTTGTTATACTTTTTAAACATGAGATATAAATACGTTAAAATAGTTTTAACATATGGAAATTGACTGTTTTTGAAATGTAGAACTTTCTAATTTTTGTTCTTTTATTTTATTCAAAATATAAAAATAGTTTTGTCTTTTTGTCATTATTTATATGATTTAATCCGTTGTTAATATATCTTGTTTTTGATAATATTTCATCCACCAATTTGGTATTTCAATATTATCTATAATTGTATTAGATTCATTCCAATATTTACTCATAATAAATTTTATTTTTTCTTCATTTGTTGGTAATAATTTATTCATTTCAAATGATCCAATACGTATTCGACTACGTTTAGCAATTATAGATTGTTGTGTTTTACGATCAATACATTCTAAATCATATAATTCTTTTTTTAAAAATGTTCCATAGATAATATTTTTTGGTGCTTCATTTAACATATCCCAATTTTTTTCTGTACGAAGTAATTCTCGTAATTCATATGTATTTTTACCTAATATTGAATTTTGTGGAAAATAACTTAATGCATAGGTTAATGTAGCATTTTTTAATGTATCATATTGATGACGCCAATAAATTGATGCCATTGCAGCAAATTGATTTGGTACAGAAAAAGCACGACCATCAAAATAAGCTGAATGTGATATAAGACGTTCACGTACATGTTCATTTTCTATATCAGACCAATCTTCTTCATTAATATATTTATTAAATTTAGCTGCTGTATATGATGCTAATACAGAAACAAGTTTTTGTATACGACCAGAATACATATGTTCACGAGGATTTTTTTCTATGGCATTAATTGTTAAATATCCATCAAAAACAAGAGAAATTTCATCAGATTGATAAAAAATTGTTAATGGATTAAAACGTTGTAATAGATCAGCTGATGTACGAATAAATGCTCGTGTCATACGTTGATCAAATGGTTTATTAAAACCACGTGTATAATTTCGAAATGAAACTCCATCAATACGTACAATAAATGGATAAGATGAATCTAATTGTTGATCACTTATAGCTTCTAAATTTTTTATTTCACTAGCAAGTAATTTTTCATTATTGAGTAATTTATCATTATTAATATTAAAAAGTTCTTTTTCAGATGTTATATCTGTCATTATGAATATAAATTGGTTTTAGTTGGAATAGTTTATTCACATATATATATATATTATGGACATAATGTATAATTATATTGCATCACCATTGATCAAAAGAAACATGTTAATGAGTCATCAAAAAGATGATTTATACGCTTTTTCTTTTCTTTTTTTTGCTTTCACTCCAGATGTCAGTGATGTAAAACAGACTATTGACTGATGTAACATATCGAAAAATTATCATTTATCATAGTTGTGAAATTTCGTAACAAGAAGATTTAGAAGACTAACTATATTTTAGTAAATCTAAGTAAGATTAGATTGTTTTTGTTGTGTATTAATCAGATGTTCAATTAATCATAGACGAAAGATTTCATTCATTTTCATTGAATTTCTATAAGATGTTTCGTTCTATTTATAGTATCATAAAATAGTACTATTCACCAGGGTAAAGATTTTGATAGTATAGAAAGTAGATTATCTTGTAGCAATAAAAAAAAACAAGAAGCAATAATTGAGTCTATTTATTCTTGTATAGAAATTCTAAATCAACATAGAAAATAGAAACTTCGAGAAATAATTGGACACATAGTGAAAAGCTTGTTATATATATATATATCGGTCATGAAGTACATATGAAAATTTGAGTTTATTTGCTCTCAGATATTAAAAAAAAATAGAAAAAGAAGATATGATTATGAATGTTATTTGTTGATACTCATTATTAAGTCCAAAAAGCAGGACAAAGAGTCTATATTTCAAACCTCCACATCTGAGTCAGGGTATAATATTAGGGAGAGAGTTAATAATCTTTGCGTAACTATCAAATGATGAATAATATCAAAAAAAAACCATTATTTTGTTTGTTTACGATAATTACCTATGTTTCTATACTTAGCACATGTTATTCGATATCAAATATATATGAATCATTAAAATCATATGCTCGTTCTGTTCGTTATTTTCTCATTGAAAGAAAAAGTTTACTGTGGTATATATTGAAAGACATATATATTAATCGACATCTAATGTTTGTCAATCTCTGACGTTATAGAAATATCAAAAGCATTTGTTGATCATATAACATTTCTTTGTAAGTATATTCAAATAATAAAAAATAAGAACACATAGATTACAACTTTCTGTTCTATGTTATTTAGTTTGATTATATCTGTATTTTGCTACACCTATGTAAGACGTTAACATTTTTAAAGGAGAAACAAAAAAAAAAAGGGGAAGATATAATATCCTAAATAAATAATGTTAACTATACATTGTAGTAAAAGAAAAGTAGAGATGGTGAGAAAATTAATCCTAATGTTTAATATCGGTATATGAAAAACTTCTAAGTTTATACGTCATTTCCATTTTCTTCCTCTTTTCTTTCCTCTCTCTTCCTCTCTTTTCTTTTTAGCATATGATAAAACCTATTGACTCAACAATCGTTTGTATGATAAAAAAAAAAAAAGAAACGACAACTACTGGTTGATTGATTCCTTAATACATATCTCCGTCTATATTCTAGTCTATTTGCAAGTCTGACAAGCACATATATATATAGAGAGAGAGAGCGAGTAACTAAACGTATATTTGACGACAAGTATAAAGAACAAAAAACGATAAAAGATATTATCATCAAAATTTCATTTGATCTACTACAGTATAGAATTTTGTTTATCATTTTCTTTTCATCATCTTGTGCATATTTGATTCACATATAAGAGTAAGACCTTTGTCCTTTAAATATTTTATGTTATTATATAAAGATAAACTTTTCTTTTATTGTTATCTTTATAGTTATTTAGTTGTACGACTATAATGGCTACTATGACATCAACAGAATTTTCAATTAGTAAATCATCATCAATTGATATGCATCAATATGATTCGACATCTTCATTAAATACAGAACATTTTATTGATGAACGATATCCAAAAACATATCTTGATAGAATACCATCAATAATGCTTGAATATCCACCATCAAAACTTAACAATCAACCATCACGTTCTCGTCATAGTCTTCGTTTTCGAACTCAACCCGTTACATTAACAGAAATTCATGAAACAGATGAAGAGAATAATATTGAAAATGATAATCAACAAGAATTAAAAACCAAAGTATTTACTAATAGTTACAATCGATTGGGACATTTTGCTTTAATGGAAAATATACGATATACAGGAAGAAAAAAAATGCCATTAAAAAATTTTCTTAAACAACAACGACTTAAAACAACACAGGAAGAACTTTGTGAAACAGATGGTTGTTGAAGTATTTTTTTTTTTTTTTTTATTGTATATATATATATATATTTAATTTGCTACTCTATGTAAAATTTCAGCAAAAATAAAAAAAAAAAAAGGAAGAAGAAGAAAAATCAAGTATTTAATTATTTTCTTTTAGAAACATATTTTGAGTATTTTCATATAAACGATTGGAAAAATATTTTTGTTTGTCTCCAATTATTGATCGATGATCAGTAGACAATGTTGTTGATGAATTTGTTAATGTAACAAATGATTCATCTCGTTCATTTAATAGATTTGCTATTAATGGTGGTTGTAATTCAAATTGTTCATTTGAACAATTATCTATTTCATGTTTTTTAAATGTTTTTGTTTGTAATGTTTCACTAATATTCATATTTACGGATATTTGTGTATCAGTAGAAGATATTCCTGGTGGTATTGTTAAATTTGTAGCATGATTTTCCATAATTGTTTTTTGTTGTGTTGATGTTAATTGTTCCAAAGAATAATTCAATACAGCAAATATCAATGGAACAAGAACAGAAAAATAGATAAGATAAAAACGCATAACAATTGGATAAATACATGCTAGTAAACATGATGATAATACAAGTAAAAATCGAAGAAATGATTTTGATGACCAATATCCACAAGATTGTATTGTTACATTTGATGATGATAGAATTATTTCATTATTTGATGTTGTTGTTTCTATAATTTGTATTAAATTAATATCATATTGTATATTATTATTATCCATAACATCAATTGATGATAACAATGGCGTTGAATTAGATGTAGTGTGTTGTTGTTGTTGTTGTTGTGGTTTCTTTTGACAACAAGAAGATTTTTTTAGACATGAGAAACATTTTGACATTTTTAAACGTAAATATAAATAAATAAGACAATCATATAATAATTTTAATAAAGCAATTAATGATAAAAATAAATTCATTATTAATGGTATTAAATTAAATAAAATTGTTTGTATAAAACGATTACGATTAAATAATTCTTCAAGATAACTTATTTGTGTTGTACCAGGACAATAAACAGGTTTAGGTAATTTTTCATTTGAATCAATTGAATAAAGTAATGGTATTGTAGCTGTAAATGAAAATGACCATACACATAGAACAGCACAAAAACTAAATCGACGAAAAAATCTTCGTAAACAAATACCACATGATTTTAAACATGTACGATTTGTATGATTTACATCGGATGATGATGATGATGACGATGGAAATAAAAATAAAATAAAATTTGCATGAATTGCAACTATTGTATAAGCTAAAATAATAAACAGCAAAAAAAAAAATTTTTTTTAATAGTTTTTTTTTTTTTGAAATTAAATAAAAAATCAATTCGAATTCATGAGAAAAACATAGAACAGATTATTATCCAAGAGTAATAAATGTTCTTTTGACATCTACAGCTGAGAGATAATAGTAATGATTAAGAAAGAATTGTGTTATGTAGAGAACAAAATTGAAGATGTATTAATTGGATTCTCGATTTTTGAGTATATGTAGAATAGTACTCGATTTAATAATAATCAAATGAATTTTATTTTTTTGTTTGATTTTTATCGATTATTGTTGATGTATATTATTAAATTATGTAAAGAATAAAACTTCTATTTGACTTAATTTCTATCATAATATTCTTATAGTTTATTAGATATTAGATTTTATTTATTTGAATGAATGTCGGAAATATATAAAATTTCCGAATATCACTTTGTGATTATCTCTAATTATAACGAATAGAAGAAATTATTGTTTTTTTTACTAGTTTTCATTTATTTATTATTTCCGAAGATTTTAATAAATTATATATGTTAAAGATTCTATTCTAAAATATTTCTAGCAAACATAATTATTAACAAATGCATCAAGGAAAAATTAATAAATTCATAGATCATACATTATAATACACATTTTCTTTCTGTCTCAATGTGTAATAGTAAGCTAATTTTAAGTTAAAATAACTTGCATTTATCTCCTTTCAACATATCTTAATGAGCTAGTTGTTTAATTTCTTTTTTTTCCTTGTATAACATATCAACTTAATAATTAAAACATGCTACAAGAACTTTAAACTACTCAATAGTATTTTGTTTAATAAAAATCATACCGAGTATAACAATACATGATGATTGTAGATAATATATTGCTCGACAATTGATTTCTGATATAACTTTTGAACGAAATGTTTGAATAAGATAAAATAAATATAAACCATTAATTAATGAACTTGATAATGCCGTACTTGATAAATAAAAATTTACAACATTACGAAATGAACTAAATATCATTAGAATAGGAATAGCCAAGTTTAATACGACTAAACTTAATGAGGCTATCATTTCTATGAATAGCCATGTTGATATACGAGAAAATAAAAATATCATTGACAATAATTTTGGTCACCATCGACTCTTTCGTTTTTTCATTAGATTTTTTTTTTGTCAGATTAATGTTTATCTAAAATAAACAAAGAAATCATCGAAATTCTTTTTCTTTTCTTCTTTTTTTTTTTTATTATTACTATTATGAAGTTTGTTTTTCAATGACAACGAGAAATTTTTTCCCAAATCTATTGATCGATTTGCGCACAACTATATCCTTGACACATCATATACATACATATTATACAAAGAAAAAAAAAAACTAATTCGATTCTCGGACTCGTTTTTATGATTATCGTATATAAAGATTCAGAGAAAGAAAACTAATGTTGGTCTAGTTTGTTTTTTGTTCGTATGAGACTCGAGGCACATCCAACGACATGAAACGACATGTAATTACTATCTCTTCTTTCTTTCACACACACACACATATATATATATTTTTTAAAAACCGACAAAAGAATAGATAGATCTCTATTGATAGAAGATAACAAGACGAATTTATTCTTATTGAAAATTAAACTTATTAAAAGTCAATCATATGAGATTTATCTAAATTATATATATTAGTCAAAGATCGAAGTCAATGATACTACATAGAAAATCATGTCTTCTATATTCAAGTAAATTGTTAGAAACAGTTGTCATATATCTAATGTATGCAAACAACTGATTACTTTCTGAATAGTTTTTTGAGAATAGTAACAATCGAACAAAACAAAGTTAAAGCTCGTCATAAAAAGAATGACAATCGTATGTCAATGGTAATGATCAAACTTCTTATTTTCTATAGGAAATGAAAAACAAAATTAGAGATAATGATTACAATATGATAAAAAAATTGTAAATACCAACATGAAGTACTTCGATGATAAAGCAGTATGGATCAAGTAAAATGAAACAAAGCCTATAACATATTTTTTTCAGGATATCAATAGATTTTCTATGATCAAGGTTATTATCTTAATCTTATTTTTTCTTTTTCGTACATGCTGTAGCCCATATCTTTACAGCTCAAGATCAATAATTAAAGTAGAAATGAGAATGTTTTCTTTGCTATCTTATTCTCTTTAAATTAGCCAAATAAGACATGGAAGATGCAGATTTCTCATGATTTATAGCTCGTTTATGCTCTGTTACATAGAAAACTGATGTACAAATAATTAATGATTGTCTTATTAGATTTTTCAAAAAAAATATCACTTGTTCTCATACATACATAAGTGTACAATTGTTTTTCTTTTTTCATCAATGCTAACAATCAAAAACGAAGGACATTTATGTTAAGTCTATCTCTTCGAAATAATTTCATATAAATTACAACATACGTCATCATTGAATAAATGAATCCAGAACAAAAAAAAATCAATGTTAGTTCTATACATCATATGCTTCATTCACTTGTCACAATCAAGAAAAGATGAATAGGAATGGTAGACTGTAAATATAAGTGGAAGACACAACATACACATGCGTGCATTCTTCATCCAATCACAGTACTATGTCCTTGATAAATATGCATGAGATACACCACTTGGTATCATTAAAATAATCAATGAATATTTCGATAGACAAAATAATTCAAGGATTATCTAATAGAATAATAGATATATAAAGTAAATGTCTCTTTAATTTACTTATTGACAATCGAAATCAATTACCAATGTAATAAGAAAATGTTTTAGCTCATAAATGTTATTTACTATAAAATATCTTTAATGATTCAATATAATGTGAAAAAAAACCTAACAATTCACTAAAGATATTGTATTCTAAAAAGTTTTATACATTTATCTATTAAAATATTTAATATTAATTAATATCTACATCGGTATTATGGACTATTTTTCATAACAACGTGGGTACATATGTCAAACCTAAGATTACATTGATTATAGCTATCTCAAGAAATTAATGTTGTTGCCGATAACTCGATAAATTGACGCATGTTTTCAATGATTTCTGCTGTTGTAGCATCTGACAGAACAGAATACACACAAAAAGAAAAAAGAGAAGGCAATAGTTATGATTAGTGCAATTATTCTTATCATTATTCACATGTTTTATATCCTCATTTATTCTGCATAATGGTCTATCTATAAGTAATATAATACGCAATATATTCATACTGATGTTTGTCCTTGTATAATTTCTATTATCTATAATATACTATTTGAATAACTATTTTTAGATGATATGTAGAGTAGTATCGTACGATGACATTAGATAATCAATGTTTTGTTTTGTTCTTTTTCTATAGTAAACATTAAGAGATTTAATTGTCCGCCTTCTTTTCTGAAGTTTATCGGAAACGACTCGATGAAAGATTATAGAACTTTCAAGGATGATAGATCGTGAAAAGTAAAAACAAAAATTATTATAGACTTAAAATTTTCAAATGCTTCTTTTAGAAAGATATGATAGTCGCAAATGTCACAGATGGTCAGAAGTGGGCCTCCTTCTCCTGCGCAAAATTCTCTATGTAATTTTTTTAATGACAACTATGATCAAAGCAGGGTGTCTCTTTTTTTTCTTTTGAAAACTGTAGTTCCTAGAGCTCGGAAGGAACAAAATAGTGGAAACACCGTCAGAAAACGTGTTTTTTTTCAATGGGACTAATTTTTTAAAGACTGCCGAAGTTCGTAGGAAGAACATTTTGAAGAAAAAGGAATGCACGTACCCTAATTATACCAGAGTATTCATTAAAAAAATTTTGAGCTCGGTCGGACATTCCGTGTAGGAGAAAAAAAAAGGGAAGAACTTAGTTGTTTTTTTTTCTATTCAAAAATTAATTTTACGGATAACGTAAAACAAACATTCCTGTATGTTTCAAGACTTTTCTTCTTACTAAAAAATCGAATACTAATCATGTTAGCGGCCGATAAAATACTTGCTCTCAACACTTTTAGAATTTTGCATACATAGAATAATTGTAACACAATTTTTTCTGCTAGGAATTTCGAGACACATCTGAGAGATCAATATGAAATGTGTTTTTATGACAGATTTTCCAGTGAAGAGTCCACTGTGATATCTAGGTCATTACTCGTGTTTCCATGAGTTATGTGCAAACTTCATGAAAATCATAAGTATAGGCAGCATATCTAAAACGATCAATTGAAATAAAATATTCACATCTTTTCAACTCAAGATGAAATAATGCTCGTTACTTTTGTTTTTTTTTCTAGCTCGTATACATTTTCTAATATACTGAATCAATTGTTTCTCGTTGTGGTTTGGTTTTCAATATGAAGTTTTAGTATCAAATTAAGAAACACAATTGATCGAAAAGTACATTCAAAACTAATTCGACTCCGAGAGAGAATTCAATTTTAATTGATCAATTGTACAATATCTCAATTTCATTAATGACAGATGTCAGACTTCTGTTTCAGATAGCAAATTTAAGAGTTTCTTTCTATCAAAAAGACTCTCATGCTGCTTGAAATGGACTACAATACCGAAGCTGAGATCATGTTTGATTTGTAGATCAACATTTAAAGTAAATTGGTGACAATTGTTCTAGAAAGTCGATCATATTATTCATCTTTTTATTGATGCTTGCTTATGCACTATCAACATTAAATATTTGACAACTACTGACATTTACATCGAGAGAACGGCTAAAGTATTAGATAAAAAAAAAAAAACTTTTCGAATATTTCAGCTCATTACGTACGTTTGAACAAAGTTCAAATATATGAGTAAAAATATTAAGTAATGAAACAAAAAGTTTGAATCTTGCTTCACAATGTATTCATATCATATGATTTTCTTGCTTAAGATACTCAAGTTTTTCATATACATAATACAAAAAAGAATGTTTCACTCGAATATTAAATTACAAAATAATTGCAACACAGACCGTATAAAGACCTTGTTCCAATACTCATCTACTGTGCCATTTAACACATATTAACCACTAGCAGATCTAGTTTGATTTGATTTCTTGTTAATTACATATAATACAAAAAAAAAACAGATGAAACATATTTAGTATGCATGTGAAGGTAATAATTAGAATAATAGCAGAGCAGTAATACATAAACGCATCACTATCTAATGAGAAATGTGTAACTATCTAAACTTTTTTTAAAGAATATATTTGTAAACATATGATTCGTCTAATAACTAGATTAAAATTTTGCAAACGATCTCCTGTAGTAAAAAATGTACCTTTACTTGAAAATAGAATTAGCAGAACTTTTTTTTTTAGCTTAGAATTCTTTTCTTCGATAAAAACAGAATAGATTGAACGAAGCTTTTTTTTCCTAACATTACATATAGAAAATACTACTCATGATACTTCATGTCTAACAGTCATTTAGAATTAGATGTGACATGTTAAATTATCGCCGGCGGTAATAAATATTAAATGTTGATAGTTGAAGAGTCTTATATATTTTCTGTCAGTTATTGCATGAATGTCAATTTTTTTAATTGAAGTAGGAGAAGTATAAATAATAAGTACAGCTAAGTATATTAATCAGAGATATGTAGAAGTCGACTGAGATCATGGGAAAGAGAAATGGTCGAGGCTACAAAAAAAAGTCCAAGCTATCTCAATTGAAACGAATGACTACAAAATAATTACATCCGTTAACTGAAAAAAAATCAATAAACGACTGTTTAAGAATGTGTTTTAGATTTGATACAAATACATCCTGAAATAGTTGGTTTTAGATGAAAAACAAGATCAGTGTTGATCTCTGAAAAATTAAAAATAAAGGAGACTTTTACTATTGGAAAAGAATTTAGAGGAAGAAATGTTTGGCCGTGCGCATCTCGAACTGCAAAATGCTAAACTAACCACTCACATTCAAACAGCAGATGTTTGTAAAGTGTGCAACATATTTTTCACATTGAAAGGAACTTATTTCAGGCGCAAGTTTCCTCTAGAGGATTTCTTGTAGTATTTTCTTTGAGAAGAAAAGTTTGTTTTCTCAAGACGTTTCAAC